GTCATGTCCAAGCTGTAGCTACCCCACCCCACAAACCCTCACCTTCTCCTACTGGAGCTGGTCCACCTGAGGACCACCCTGTGGGTGCAGGTCCCTTCTGGGCACAAAGCCAAGAGGAAGGCCCAGGCATAGTTGGAGCCCTCTGATATGGAGGACTCCTCCCTGCCCCCAAGACCATCACATGGGGGATAGGAGCAGGCCAGCTTCTGGAGCCTCCCCTGCTGTGTGTGACACCCCACCCCATGGAGGAGGTTTCAGGGCTGCTGGAAAGTCCCAAACAGGAGCCTATGGAGGAAGCCCCTCACCTGCTGGCCAGGGCCTACCCCCTGAGACCCTGGGCACCAAGGCTGAGGCCTCAGCTGACCCAAAGGAAAGTCCAGCAGGCCAATCACACCTTGTCATGCATCCACAGATGCATCTCAAGCAGGTCCAAAGAGGTGATCCTTCCCCTTTATGTGGCACTGGTCAGGTTGCAGTTGGAGTACTGCATCCAGTTCTGGGCGCCGCACTTCAGGAGGGATGTGGACAGCATTGAGAGGGTCCAGAGGAGGGTCACCCGCACGATCAGGGGGCAGCAGGGCAGGCCCTACAAGGAGAGGCTATGGGACCTGAACCTGTTCAGTCTCCAAAAGAGAAAGCTGAGGGGGGATCTAGTGGCCTGTTACAAACTAGTCGGAGGGGACCAGTGGGCATTGTGGGAGTCCCTGTTCCCCTGAGCACTCCCAGGAGGGACAAGAAATAATAGTCACAAGCCGGCAGAGGGTAGATTCAGACTAGACATCAGGAGGCACTACTTCATAGTCAGGGCACCTAGGATCTGGAACCAAATTCCAAGTGAAGTGGTGCTGGCTCCTACCCTGGGGGTCTTTAAGAGGAGGTTAGATGAACACCTTGCTGGGGTTGTTTGACCCCAGCACTTTTTCCTGCCATGGCAGGGGGTCGGACTTGATGATCTGCTCAGGCCCCTTCCGACCCTACCAACTATGAAACTATAAGACACCGGGCATCCACGGGCTGACCGCAGAGTTCTACCAGGCCTTCTGGGATGTCCTCGGCCTGGAATTTGCCTCAGTGTGGGCCAAATCTGAGGGAACTGGGGAGCTCCCCCTGTCATGCTGGAGGACTCTGCTGACCCTGCCAATGAAGGGAGATCCCCACGACCTGAGGAACTGGCATCCTATGTCCCTGCTCTACACGGACTACAAGGTGGTAGTGAAGGCCATCTCGCTGTGCCCGCAGTCTATGTTAGCGGATGTGATCCATCCCGACCAGATATACACAGCATCCGAACATTTCATCTTCAACAGTACCTGGTTCCAGGACCTCCTGGAGCTAGCATGCTGGGAGGGCCTATTTTTCTCCCTCCTGCCCCTAGACCAGGAGAAGGCATTTTATGGGGTAGATCATGGGTACCTCACAGGCATGCTGCGGGCCTTTGGCTTTGGTCCCCACTTCATGCGGGTTCTCTAGGTGCTATACCCCTCTGCAGAGTGTTTGGTTAAGTTCAACTGGACCCTGATGGAGCCCATCCTGTTCAGGAGAGGGGTGTGTCAAGGCTGCCTGCTGTCAGGCCAGCTGTATACCTTGTCCCTAGAGCCCCTCCTTGTCCTCCTGTCAAGGCAGGTAGTGGGTTTGATGCTCTGGTGTGGCTGGTCCTGTCAGCATATGCTGATGATGTACTCCTTGTGATCCAGGACTCAGGTGACTTGGCGCAGGTAGAGGCCTACCAGACATTGTATTCAGCAGCCTCCTCTGCCCGGGTCAACTGGGTCAAGAGCTTTGGCCTGATGGTGGGTGGAAGGTGGGTTCACTCCCACCCATGCTGCATGGGATCCGCTGGAACATGGGCTCACTGCTGTACCTGGGGGTCTACCTGTCCCCCATGAACCCCTCCCTCCTGGACAACTGGCACCAGCTAGAGGCCAGGGTGGTGGAGTGACTGCAGGCATAGGCAGGACTCCTGAGGTGTCTCTCCCTGGTGTTGAACCAGATGGTCTTGTCCATGCTCTGGCAGTGCTTACACACCCTGACTGTGCCCCCCGAGATCCTGGCTGGGCTCCAGAAATAGGTGCTGGCCAGGATGACACTGGGTCACTGTGAAGGTCCTGAGCCTCCCCTTGTGGGAGGACGGCCAGGGCCTGGTTTGTCTGCACAGCCAGGTTCTGACATTCTGCCTTCAGGCCCTGCAGTGGCTGCTATACAGTGTCGGGAGCCACATGGCATGGGGCCAACTGGGGCTCACCTTCCCCTGCCACTTCCGGGGGTTCCGGCAGCTCCTCAGTCTACGTGGCTTCTATCTGCAGGACCTGTGAGAGCTACCAGAGTTTTATCAGGACCTCCTCAAGGCCTGGAAGCTGGTCTCCACCTCCAGGTCCCCTGCAACACTTGCCCAGAGTGCTGACCTGCTCTTTGAGCTCCTCCTCTGGAACCCCCAGCTGGATGTAGCAATAGTAGAGGCACCCTGGTTGTGACAGGTTGATCCTGTGTGTGATCACCCACATCGGAGACCTCCTGGACTACAATAGGCCTGCATGGGTGGACCCCTCTGAGCTAGCTCGATGAATGGGTCCACCCATGGTGTGTGCAACCTCCCACCTAGTCCAGGAGGTGAAATCTGCCTTACCTCCTGACACCATTGCCTTTGTTGACCAGGTCCTGTGTGGTGGTGGTCCCCACCACCCCATGTCTTCCAGCCCACTAACAAATTGCCTGTCAAGAATGACTGGTGGAGGGGCGGCGGGGTCAGAGGCCTGCATGTGCCCCCCTCCAGCAAGGGCTGAGGCTGCTCCGCACCTCCTCTGCCCCCAGCCCCCTTGCTTCAGGCTAAAGCCAGGGCCGGGGCTGGGGCCGGGGCCACTCCCCTCTTCTGCTTCAGGCCGGGGCCAAGGCCATGGCTGGTCCTCCCCTGCGCCCAGGCTGGGGCTAGGGCCTTTCCCCCCCACCCACCCACTGCTTTGGGCCAGGGCTGGGGCCGCACCCCCTCTCCCCCTC